GAACCCCTTGTCAGCAGAAGCAGCAGGAAATCTTTAGTGTCCTTATTTAGCACAAAACCAGCAATTCAGCTCTTGTCCAGCTTGTATCAGTCATCAGCCTTCCCCCTTTTAAATTATGTTTTTCTTACAGACAGATCTACCAGCCTCTTGAAAGAGGACCGAACACATTTAATAACAAGTCTAACGATTTTCCAGAAGATCTGTATGCCACTGGATATAAGGAACCCTATAATGCCTGAATGCCACTTTATGATGTTCAGGCATTACATGGGCAGATGTCTTTGCAGAAACCAGATGTCCCGTTTTTTCTGCAGCCCAAGATAAATGGGGATGGATGGCTGTTCCCAGTGACCGGAGGAGAGGATATGCCCATATCATAGAGCATTTGTATGTCATATTCTGTGTTGAGAGAAGACAAAGCACTTTAGTTTAAAACTGTAACAGCTAAGGATGAATTTAGGCTGCCTCCATGGTGGGCTGGGCATGAGAGAAGGGCTAACTTGTGAGGTCATGTCCTCTAAAAATGATCAGGGGACAACTTTGTGCTGCAGTTAGCAGGACATCAGAATGAGCCCACAAAGAATTCCCAACTGCTTTAATTTCTTTCTTCCTATGTGCTTTAACTTGAATTAATCAGAAAATAATGATGAATAAATAGAGGAATTGTATGTATGTATATGTGTGTGTGTGTGTGTGTGTATGTATGTGTGCATATATGTGTGTGTGTGTATGTGTGTGTGTGTGTGTGTGTTATAATTTTAGAAAGATCAAACTTATTTTGTGGGTGGAACAAAGAAAAAGGGGGTATGAATAGTAACAAAAACTGGGAACATGAGAGAGTCTTCCTCATTTTCGAAATAAACTACCTTCTTTCTGACCATTACAGACAAACAGCAGATAATATTCTTAGCTTCAGAAATATAGAAATCAATCATTTTTTTACAGAAAAGTAAGATCTCAGAGGCCATGGTGAAATGTGTGGAGCTGTTTTCCACTGCTTATTCCCTCTGATTTGGACTGTTTTGGAATCTTTCAGAGACGTGTTTCTTTCTATCTGGTAACAGTGCTTTGAAAAGCACTGGGAGAGAATATACGGTAGAAACAGAACTGGAGCAGACACTGGGGAAAGCTTAAAACTGCAGCCATTCCTTCTTTCTCCTCCTCTTTCATTTACACACCCACATCACACTTTAAGGCACTGGCATGCATGCATATACGCTAGTCTCTCTTTGGGAAGAAGACAGAAGACAATGTGCAGAAATGAAAGGATACTCTGGGAATGAGCGAGAGTGAGACAGAAGAAGCAGAGCTTGTAAAAAGGGAGGAGCAGGGGGCCTTCTTGGGCTGTGTCTTTCATGTGCTTTGTTAGTGGGGTACGATGCCCCTGCAGTCTGCCTGGAGCTGCCAGCCCCCATCAGCAAGAGATGGAGGCAGAACTGGTTATTGTAGGGTAAGTCAGAACGGGTGAGGATGCGGTGTGTCAGTTCAGGATGGGTGTTGATGCATGCATGTATCTGTGTGAATACATATGTGTGTATTCTCCTACAGGGCCCTGGTTGTTCATTCTCCTCTCTGCATATAACTAAGCATGTCATTTCAGCTCCTGTATGCCCCATCCTTGTTGAAGGGAGGGTTAAGGGAGCCAGCTTCTCTGGGTGCATTGTGTGGCACTCTCTGAGGTCGTTGCTCAGATTTTATGTCAATGCGCTGCCTGCTTGTAAACAATGCATTTGCTGTAATGAGGTAAATAATCACAGTGCAATTTTGAAGGTGCAAGTTAACACACTGCAAACAGGAAGGCTGTAAATATGACTTGAAAGGTGTAAAGACAAAATAGTTTGCTTTAGGGGACATTTTGCATTATTTTTCACTAAGAGTTTTTAAGTATAAGGCCCAGATTCATTGCATTATTGATAATTTTATTTAGAGCAAATCTTCCCAAAGAAATGACAACAAAACCCGTTCTGATGTAGACAGTGTCACATAGTGCAGGCATGTAGGAAAAAAATTGATTGAAAACCTTTGAGCCTGGTTAATGGTGTTAAGTTTTATTCCTTTCCATATACTATACTGTGATTATCTAGTAGTTTTAATACAGGGAACATATTGTTGAAAAGACTCTAATGTTGTGATTTTATAAGGAAGTAGTGTATATATTTTCTTAACATGTCCTCTGGAAGAATAGGTTAATTAGTAACAATTTTGTGGGCCATGGTAAATGTACAACTTGTACTTCACAGATGTTTATCTAAATGGTAAAGGTAAAAAGTTTATTTTTTGTGAGAAGTTACTTAATATGTATTATATAGCACAGAATTCTAAAGAATAAATATAACTGCCCTTTAAGAATGTTACCAGATTTCTTACTTTGTATGTAGGAATAGCACATATATAGATGAGATACAGAATAAAACTATACTGAGAGAAACAAAAATATATTGGGAGACAGAATTAGGGGACCTACAGCCCTTTAGGGGCATGCATCAAGGCCAATGTCAGAGAAGTTGGAGTTGTCACCCCATAATTTCTGGAGAGCCATTGATTCCACACATTTTGCTTAAAGTGCATTCGTATGGCTTGACTTTAAGGACTTGCTATCTGATTCCTTATACTTGGTGCATTTGTTTCTTGTAATGTATGAAGTAGCAGAAAGAAAAGTACTTAAAGTTCTTTTTCTAAACCCATTTCTTGATTTTGAGGGGGAAGGGCAAGATGGAATAAATGCAATCATTATTGAATTTTTGCTCCTTCAAAAATAAGCAGGCTAACCATTTCAGTATAACACATGAAGAATAAATTTTCCTGGTTTTGATTATTTTGCATATATATATACTGCTTGTGAATTATATACACTTTTTAAAAGCTATCCATACTATTATTGGTTTATTGTTTTAATGTTATGTGGTTCTTTTGTGTTATTGTTTGTTTTTTTATTGTTATATGCTGCCAGTCACACTATTTGAGTTGGGTGGCCCTATACATCCAATCAGTCAGTCAATCAATCAATCAATCAATCAATCAATCAGTCATTGGGGAACTAAAGCTGAGAGAGCCATCTAATGAGTGGAAGGACTTATTTATCCTGTTTCTTTTATTTAAATGTTTGGGGGCTATGTTTTCAAAACAAAATTCATGCAGACTTTAAATTCATATTATGCTGAGCTGACAAATGGAATAGTTGATGTAGAGACTGCATTAAAATGTCCAGATATAATACCCATGGTTATATTTGAAAGCACAAATCTTGTGTTGATACTCTTTTATGTAATTATGTTTTGTGTGACAATAAAAAGCAAAATTATGTCTAGATGCTGTTTAACAAAGATTTTCATATAACTAAAAACATACAAAATTCTGAAGATGCCCTTACTTCCCCCTTCTTCCTTAGCAAAATGGTATACTGTAATATTTACTTACTGAAATATTTCCTTAGTCTTCTTAGACACTTATTAAGGGTGTCAAAGTGTCTTTTTCTTTTCTTTTTTCTTTTTTAATATAATTTTATTAAAAGTTTTAAAAAGGAAGATAAAAACGAATACAAACTAATATAAAGTAAAAAGAAAAGAAAAAGACATCAGAAAGAAAGCAAAAAGTGCAAGAAAGGAAAAAAGTAAAAGAAAAATAGAAATGAAAGAAAAGAAATACAAAGAAGTGGCTTCTGATCTTCTTTACAGCAGTTATAAGTACAATTATAAATTAATCTCTTACTCTAAGGTTACAGCATGACTCTTTTCTTTCTATAATCTGTCCTGTCTAATCATCAAAGTCATAAATCATAAGTTCATTTTTTTCTGTTTTATGCAAAAAGTCCACAAGGGGTTTCCAGTCAGCACTAAGGTTACAGCATGACTCTTTTCTTTCTATAATCTGTCCTGTCTAATCATCAAACTAAGGTTACAGCATGACTCTTTTCTTTCTATAATCTGTCCTGTCTAATCATCAAAGTCATAAATCATAAGTTCATTTTTTTCTGTTTTATGCAAAAAGTCCACAAGGGGTTTCCAGTCAGCAATAAATGTAGGTATTGTCTTTTCTCTAATCAAAGAAGTCAATTTGGCCATCTCAACAAGTTCCATCATCTTCACCAACCATTCCTCCATTGTGGGTAATGCCATATCTTTCCATCTTTGTGCATACAATAATCTCGCTGCAGTTATCAGATTATATATATGATAACTCTTGTTCTTAAAACTTTCAGTAAAATATTTTAAAAAAAGTCACCTGTGATTTTACATTCTCATATATACATTTATAAAAGTCATCTTTATTTACATGAGTGCCCGTAAGACCTACATAGATTCTTCTGTAGTGATTTGTTTGGAAGTATTCCCCATCTGCCTAGGAAAAAAAAAATACAAAAATAGGTTTGGTTGATAGAAAGCATTCTAAGGGATTATAGAGGTGTCAGGGAACAACTTATGCACTTTGCCTTCTGGTAAATAGATGTTTTGAAATTGACCACACCTGTCATGACTGCCATTTTTAAAAGGACCCACAACATATTCTCAAAATTCCAAATGTGTCCACTATCTCAAAAAGACTGCCTAAGCATGATCTAAAGCCAAAATGAGGTACAGAAAGTTCACAGAAATTGCTGTCAGGTGATCACTTAAAATCTCAGAGAAAGGTTGGGTAGTGTTGGTTCTGTTTCTTGTTCATGAAGCCTTCTGAAGTAACCTTCAGAAAATCTGACTGTTGCCTGTCAAATAAAAGTTCCAGTTGAAATGTGTTAATAAGCAGGTTGCTTTTAAATTAGGCTTTCAGTCTTTATATCAGTGTTGCCAATCTAAAGTCATGCAGATGTGTTGGGACCACAATTGCAAGAATTCCCACAATTGCAAGGGTTGTATAGATGTAAGTGAGAAGCACAGACATCTGTCATTGATCCTTGAAATCTTTTATTTAGGTGTTCATCTACTGTAAAATGAAGTGGACATTGTGAAGTTACAATGAATGAAAAGAGGACATAGATTAGAATTAATTGCATCTAATTCTTCCAGAAAAGGGCTGTCAAAAGGACTTGCAGACCATCACTTCCAAGCGAAGAGTGAATATTGCCTTCCAGCACCTTTTACGAAAAGTGTACAAGAAGCAATTGACAACTATTCCTTGTATGTATTAATTTTTGAAATCACAATAAGTATTTAGTCAATACTTACCTCATTTTTATTGTTAAAAAGCGGATAGATGCATGTACTGTAAATTGATATGAGAATAACAACACAGTTGACTTCAAAGAGTACAGCACTTCAGCATTCTCTGCCTCCCCACTCCACTCTCAATGAAGCATGGCAGTTTTAAACAGTGTGACATTTCCAAAGCAAAGTCACAAGCTCTAGAGGGATGTGTCATTTCCCTCCTGTGACTTGAAATACATAAGTATTGAAATATTGCTTGGTTTTGATATGTAGTAGAGGTGGTAGTTCTGTACTAAAGCATATGCTTTGCATGAGATGGTTCCAAATTCAGCCCTGGGAAGAAAGGTGGCAGGTGGTTAGTATGTGAAAAACATTTGCTGGAAACCCTGTATAATTAGCACTGAAAATTGATCAGTGATCTTAAAAGGAAACTTCGACAAAATGGGTCATGCTAGAGTAATCATAGTACTATGTATAGTATATTTTAAAGGCTTGCAATTGGTGCTGGAATCAAGATATCATTTTACTATGAATATTCAAACAAGACACATTTAAGTATGCATTTCTTTAGTAAGTACAAGCATTAGTGTCTCAGTAGGAGTGGGGATCAAAATGGGCAAGATGGTGGATGCAGCATAATCGTGCAAGACCTGCTCTTTGTACATGCATGTGATTTTGATACATGAAAAAACAGCAGGACTTGGATCGCCATGCCACTTCCCCCATCCTGCCCATCCTGACTCCCCCACCACAACCCCGGAAACCAGTAGGCAAGAAGAAACAAAGATAAAATTAAAACAATGTCACATTCCATCATGTAACAGTCCTGTAAGTAGCAGGTTTCTGTTGCTTTAATATCAGCAGCACATTAACATCTTCTGCACTTTTGGCTCATGTTTATGTTTTCCTATCTGTCCTGAATATGTATGTGTGCCTATGACCCATGAACCTGTTAGCTTTTAACATGCCACAAAACTCTTCACTTGTGATTGCTGACAGAGGTGGCAGTCCCCAGCCAAGATTTCTGTAGATGGGATTAAGAGGTTGAAAAACGATCCTAGAAGAATATAATTGCTAATCAATTTCAAATTATTGTCAAGAAAATAATGCAGACTTGTCCACAGAACCACCAAGAATCAAGGTAGATCCAAGAGAGACCTTGAAAGCCTTATTTACATGGAAGAGACTGTTTTGGAAGATGTAGTTACAAACCAGTTACCAGAAAAAGTCCTACTGAACTCCTAAACAGTTGGATGGATCGATGCCTCCCTATCCACTGTTTAGAAATAAGTCCCATTAACTTTGCTAGTTTATTCCCGAGCAGACTGCAACATGTAACTACTTGATTAGGTATATGGACTGTTGAGTTTAAATCTACAATAGACAATATTAGACTATGTTATAAGAGCAAAAATATTTATTTTTTGAATTTTATTTTATTTACTCAAACTTATAGACCACCTCAATCATAGCTGCAGCTCTACATGGCTTTAAAATGAAAAAAAAAATGATAATAACTTACAACAAAAAAATTGCCAAGCATCCACATTGGGGAAAACAATGATTCCAATTACAGAACCATAAAATGTAGATCTCAGGGAGTAGTGTTACTGACATCTGGTCCTCTCCCACTCTTGGTGCCCAAGAGGCTTGGGGGAGCATGTAAGCATAAGACTTATGTAAATTTGTTCCTTTAAGACTAATCTGTACTGAGTTTTGTATATGGAAATGCATACTTTTATTTCATTAGAGTGGATCAATGAAATAGTCATTGCTCTTCTGCCATGTAAGCCAATAACATCTATATTGGCTATACTAGCTAGTAGATGCAGATGTTTTATTGCCACAGGATCTACTGACGTTTTAATAATCCATAACATTACATCTGAATTTTGTTTCTCTCCACAGTGTTTCTGTTTCATCACTTTCACCTAGCAGACAAACCACACCCACAGATTTGAATAACTCTTGGTCAGGGATACAGAGCTGTACCACTGGCCCATCTACTGAAAGAAGTTCTGTTTACTCTTGGGGAGATGATGTAGGTCAACATTCATTAGTAAAGTTTGTGTAAAATGTGTTAAAAATATTGTGTAGATTTCTAGTAACAGTGAAACTTAACAAAAGTTTGAATAAAATTTAAATTAGATTCACACATAGATTCACACACTGTCTCTTTGCATTTTCAACTTTGGTACATTAATCTTGGTCCATTCCCTAAGTTTAATTGGCAAACTCTAGTTTAATGTTGGTTTATTAAGCAGTATCTTTCATATTACAGTTTGTTCCTGGTAAAAGATATGGGTTGTAAACCAACATTATGAGAGCCAGATTGATGTAGTGGTTAAGGCACCAGGCTAGAAACCTAGTTCTAGTCCTGCTTTAGGCACAAAGCCAACTGGGTGGTCTTGGGCCAGTTACTCTCTCTCAGCCATAGAAAGGAGGCAATGGCCAACCAAGAAAACTGCAGGGAGTAGTCTAGGCAGTTGCCAGGAGACTGACTCAAAAGCACAAAAACAACCACAACAACAAAAAACCCAAAATCAAAAAATCCACAACATTAAATCATGGTTCGCTGTTTAAGAACTATGAAGGACTATAGTTTATACATATCAGTATTAAAGTTTTTTTTGGTTATCTTGAAAATCTTTATTTCTTACCTAGGAAGAAAAATAGAATAGAAATAAAATAAGTACATAATAGTAAAAGAATGTACATGTAGTCCTCGTTTAATGACCATTCATTTAGTGACTATTTGAAGTTACGATGGCACTAAAAAAAGTGTCCTTGCACTTATGACTGTTGCAGTATCCCCACAGTCATATGATCACAATTTGGGCACTTGGCAACCATCACACGTTTATGACAGTTGTATCATCTTGTGGTCACATGATCACCATTTGTGACCTTCTCAGACAGCTTCTGACAAGCAAAGTCAATGGGGAAGCTGGCAGGAGGTCGCAAGTCATGGTCACATGATATCTCACTTAATGACTGCAGGTGATTTATTTAATGACTGCAACTGGGACTGCCAGAACTGCTGTCAATAAGTGGGGTGGTCACATGATGTTTCACTTAATGACCACTTCACTTAGCGATGGAGTTGCCAGTCCCAGTTAGTGTCATTAAGCAAGGACTATCTGTATTGAAGTCAGGATAAGATTACTGAGCTGAGAGAAGAGTGTATGTGTCCCATGCTTGTTTGAGCTTCTTAGACTAAACAATGGGTTATTTTAGCCATTCTTTTTTGGAGCTGTTCTTTATTTTTTTATCCTCTCTTTCTGCTTTTAAGGTTACTTTGTTCTTAATTATCATTGCTAGTGAATATGAATTCTTCTTCCTCTGATATTATTCCTCTTAGATTCTGTTGTTGTCCTAATTTTGTTTTTTTAAACATAGTCATCAATGATGAAAAGCTTTTTGCTCCACCTGTCCTGTGTTTTGCACCACAGTGTTGGTTAAATCCCTGCCTTCCCTACTGTTCTTCTGCACAGGTCCTGCACTCATTCTGAACTTACTCATTTTAAACTTTGTTCCATTCATTCTGCTTTTGGCTAAGCAGCTCTCTCATTTTTTTTAGCTGATTCATTTCACTAGTCTTTCCCATTTAGTATATATTTTTTCTACTTCTAATTAATCTCACTCATCTTGTGCATGTACTTTCTTTGGTCATTCTTTGTCAGTAATCTTTCTTTCTTTCTTTCTTTCTTTCTTTCTTTCTTTCTTTCTTTCTTTCTTTCTTTCTTTCTTTCTTTCTTTCTTTCTCTCTCTCTCTCTCTCTCTCTCTCTCTCTCTCTCTCTCTCTCTCTCTTTCCTTCACTTGTAATTATTTTTTAGCTTTATAAGAAAGGAAAGAGTCACAATAGCTGAGACCTAGCTAAGCTAGCATACCATTTTGTCACCAAGGCCAATTTGTAGAAATCTATATGCAGAATACAAAGGCAATAGTCTTTTCCTGCTCTGGTTCCCAGCAACTGGTATTCCAAGTGAGTTTGCTTCTGATTCTGGCCGAAGAATACCACCACTGGGTTCTTCCAGGAATGCCCTTTTAAAGGGGATTTAATTTTTTTGTTTTGTTTTGCTTTGTCTTCTCTTCATTTCCTTCATTTACTCTTGTTCCTTTTGCTGATGTTCTGATCCACTTCTTCCAAAACTATTTGTATATTTGTGCCCTTTTTCATTCTCTAAATAGATTAAAGTTCATTGTTCCTATTAATTTTCTTTCTATGTTACATAATTTAACTTTCATTCTGTTATTTACCCCTTTTTCTTCCCAACTCAATGGACTGCTGGAAATAAATTATGTAATGGGGCTTACTGTGTTTGCCTGTCTATCAGCAGGTTAACTCTGAAAAATAAGCAGAATGGGGCCAGATTTAGTATGATGACAGAAGCTGACTAAAGAAAGATTAAAAAATGGGCCAGATCTGGCTTGGGACTATTGAGAAAACCAGAAAAAATCACCCCAGTGTATCTCTGTGGAAGAAGCAATGTGGCATCAGCTTGGAATACTGCTAATTGCTTTATTCTCAACCATTTCCCCTTTCACCTGGTCACATGACCCAGAACAGAGATAAATCCAATGCACAAGAAACACGCACACTGCAAGGGGGGAAGCAAAAACACAGAAACACACATACACTGACACTGCATGTTACAGGTAGTCCTTATTTAGCAACTGCCTTGTTTAGCGGCCGTGGGCAGGCCGTTATGACAGCGATGAAAAAGTAACTTTGTGACCAGTCCTCATGATTATGACTTTCGCAGGTCTGTAAAGATAAGGAAAGCTGAAGTAAGATCATAAGCATCGTCACTGTTTCACTTAGCGACTGCTTTGCTTAATGACTGAGTGGCTGGTCCCAGTTGTGGTTGCTAAACGAGGACTACCTGTATTTCATTACAAAGAAGATTCCATCTATGGTCATTACTGCATGCTTTCTCTAGTTTAGTCTAGTCTCCTTTGGTTTTTTGTGCCCTAAAGATATCTTCTCTTGACCTTCTTTCCTTCCTATTATTACTTCTTTGTTTCTTTGTTCCCATTTGCTATGTGAACTTACTGCTTTGCCAGATTATCCAAACCTGGTGCTGCCCAGATGTATGACTGGATATTATGAGATTGCAGTGCCACACATATAGGAGGATTCAGGGTGATTAATACTGTATCGTCATCCTGAAGCTGCTAGCATCAGGCTCAGAATGATACTGCAATTCCATAACACCAGTGGCCAATATCTACTGCAATTTTATTCAGCTTCAAAGCTGTGTGGAAACAGTGTTTGAGAATTTTAATTTTAAAATCCATAGGAGTTTGATAAAGTGAATACCCAGAGAGTGTATCAGTTGTTTTGGGATGTGGATGAAATGCTGTTTGAAGGAAAAGTGAGCTCCCAAACTGAGAATCTAAAGACAGAATGCAAAGACTGGACAAATAGATCGCTTCACTTAAGGCAAGTCTATATAAAACTTATTTTATCAGAGGTCCCTGCATCAGATTATTATTTTCTACATGTATTTTTACTCAATATGCTTAAATTACAAGCCTCTTACTGTTTGAATCATTGCTGGCTTATACAGTAATAGCTGGCACTGAGTGCTGGTTCTATATTCTGGTCTGTGACATTATATCAGCTTGAATTAAACTGTTCTACCTATCTTTCCATTTCCTTACTTCATTACCATTTATTCTTTTTGCAGGATTTTGGGAAAACAGGTTCTTTTTCCAAAAGATGAGGGTTTTCAGCATTATCAGAGCAGAAGTGCCAGTTCTGTGTATTCAAAATCTCTACCTAGTTTGAGTGAAATCACCACCAGTATGAAAGAGTATGTTGTCATCAATTTAATATATATTTATCCATTTATGTATATGATTGACATTTAAAAATTATGTTATATACAGTACTACCAATGTGTTAAACACTACATTCATCTGAATAGAAGCAGCACATTGGTATTTCATGCACTAATTGTGTGTGGTTGTGTGTGTGTGTGTGTGTGTATGGAAGATACTTTTGTAATAGATGATATGGTAATTAAATTCCAATAATATGCATGTGATAACATAGCAGAATTTGCAAGAAATGAAATAACTGTTATTCTTAGACATACAAAAGGTTGTCATGTATATTATTATATTCCTAAGTTAAATATTATGTTGAGTACAGGATAATATGATCGGGCAGGAATATGGGGAATAGTCCTGCTACTCACCACCAAAACAATAATCAGAAATATGTTAGAGATGCTTAACAAAGTTATGAGTTAGCATCTGTACTAATATAATTGGAAGGCATCTGTGTAGAGGTGAGGTGGGTTCTATAAGGTGTTCAGAACACATTAAATACTATAATAAGCTAATCTTTATTAGGATGTTATCTTATGAGTTGTTTTATTCTTATTTTTCTGTTGATGAAAAAAAAATTCTCTGCATTATGCCTTGGTAACTTTAATGAGTTACCTTAATAACTTATACTGTTACCTTTTCAAAAATTAGCATTAATTTTTTCTTGTGTGTCAAAATTATCATAATTTAGGTTATGCATCTCAGGATCAAAACTGGTCCCTGCAGCTTTTCCAGTGCACAAAGCATTCAGCTCTGAATTATCAGGGATTTCTTTATCTGAATCATCTGGATATTCATTCTTGGAGGAAGAAATTTATGATGCAGAAGGAAAAATGGAAGAATATCTTGCATTTGACAAGAAGGAACTGTAAATGTTCAATTTTAATTGCTTTCTTGAGAAGTAATTATGACTTTAAAGAAAAATGACTTTTCATAAAATCATCCCTATATACCTGACTTATTTTTGCTGTGTATTTGCAAACAGCATCTTTGGTAGCAAAATGTCACTGGGGGAGTGAATTTTTTTTTTTTTAATCAGTGAATGTCCCTGATTGAGATTGATAATATGTTTTAGACTGAAGCTGGTTTCAAAATGAAAGCCACACCTGCTTTTTCTCTATGATAAAGTTAGCTAATTTAAACACATTTGGTTAGACACTAGCAAATGTCATTTGTCATTTAACAATCACAGCGGTGTTTAAGACAAGGTAGGCAAAAATTAAAAGGCTATTCCCCAATAGATTCTTTGCATGAGCAAGGCAGTGGTAAAAAGAACTACCAATCACTTTTCTGTTTTATGCATATCTTTATAAGCAATTAAGCTGTTGAAGAATTTCATGTCAGTCATACATGGTTTTCCTACTTTTATTGGAATCAGTCAACTAAGACAAAAGAACATGAAGTGAATTTGTCAGAAACCTTTATCATAAAATCCTTTGTCTTGAAAATTGTTGAGAATATATGAAATACTAACCATAACCGAGATATTAATATTGTACTACTTGTTCAGTGCATGTAACAAAGGTGTATTTTCTGTAAAAAAAATAGTAGGCATTTTGTATTAGATTCCTTATTATTTATTTCATTCAAAATTAAATGAGGGAAGAATCTTTTACAATATTATTGGTACTGTTAGTGCATGATCAAGTGATGGGGACTGAAGGCCAATTTGTACAGTACAAATTGTGAGAATCATAGAGAGCCAGTTTGGTCTGGTGGTGAAGGCACCAGGCTAGAAACCAGGAGACTCGGAGTTCTAGTCCTGCTTTAGGCATGAAAGCCAGCTGGGTGACTTTGGGCCAGTCACCCTCTCTTAGCTCACAATGTTAGGCTCAGGTGATTAGCCAGCCAGTAAATTCCTGTTGCAACCAACAGAACAACATTCGATTGATCCAAAAAAAGAAGACCCTGCACCTGTGGGAAAACACTAGGAAGAAAAAAAAAGCGAATCTTGTTTCCTGTGTGTATAAAATGCAGCTTTTATGTGAGCATGCATTCTTTTTTGTTTTCAGTATATAAAGTGTCACTGAGTCTTGGTAGAAATTAAATGTGATAAAATCATTGCTCATAATTTGACAAGTTCTGAAATAAAACTGTGGGGCAGGACTTTGATCCAAAAGGATTTTGATTAGATAGACTAGGTTGTTATTAATAACTAATGGTGCTTAGTAATAAAGCTTTAATTTCCTTTGTTCATTAGTGATGATGAGGGTTTGGAGCAAAGGAAGTCTCAACTTGCCCAAAAACAGATTAAACATGGCATTCCTCCTGTTTCTCCCAATTCCTGTATCAAAGAAGCTGTGGCTGCTGAAGTGTTTGATCATATCTGGAAGAACGTAATTAAAATATTGGAAGAATTAATAAGAAAGTACTGGGAATCATCTATTACAGGTAAGTAGAACATTTATAGACAGGCTGTACCTCTCTACCACCCTTCCTGGTTAACTTAATCAGGCAGGATGGACTAGAATCAAGCATGAATGGATTGGTCTTACCCTATCAAGAATTTTGCCTATATCCTTAGGCTGGAAGAATGAAACCTACCATAACAGTTACCACAGGTACATAACTAGGATCTGTTATAACCAAGGAATCCACGTTGGGACAAACATGAACGATTCTGTTTGCCAGATATCTACCATCATGCCACAGAAGGCAATGGAGTTGTCTTCTCCATTTTAGTAGGTCCTTGATAACAGACCTCCTACAACAGCTCTTCTGAGTGACTTTGTGCCAATGCATTGGCAATGGCAAAGAACAATTGCTTTGCCATCTTGAGAGCCTTGGCATAAACCTTAATATGGGCTTTATCCTGAGTTTATCAGATGGCTGTCATCCCACTGTATCCTTGCTCTAAGCTCCATGAAAAAAGTCCATTTGGCTCACAAAACAGGGATTGGGACCTCAGGAGCTATTGAGTCAACTACCTTTCATCTCTGCCCTAGAGATCTACTAGGGCTGGGACAAAAGTGCCAATTGAGGTGGCAGGAAATTCTCCCAAAGCAGCAAAAAAATATTCCATTCCTAATAGGTCTTCCAACCCTTGAGATATTAGGACTTTAAATCTGAACCCTTTCATACATGTAGCACCCTCTCCCTATCTGAGCAAAAACAAAACTAACAAAATGAAAAAAACCCAACCCTTAAGCCATGAAGGTCATAGAATATTGGTCTGTTCTTGACAGAATAGCTTCAGGATTCTCTGCCCCCCCCCCCAAATAAAACCATCTATCAGCCTTGAGAACCAGCATCATGTCATCCTGGCAGCTCAGGTAGAGAGAATGATAGGTTACTAATAATTATTATTAATAATGCATTGCTTCTGATGTTGAAGCAAACTAAGAGGGCTCTAACCTTCTCTACCTGATTCATGTATGTATATTTATTATTTTCATTTAATAATGATCTAGAAAATGACAAGCAGATGGAGAAATCAAAAGTTACTGGAAATAAGTTGTTACATATTCCCACCACCCGTGCTATGGTGGATACATCAAGTGTTCCTCCGTCCAGAGGGTCAGACATTCGATGCATGTCTTTTGGCCTGCATTTTGGCCCATCCCAGGTAAAACAATATCTTCTCATCCACATATGAAAAGTCTTCAGGTTAATAATGAATAATCTCTCCTTCATGTATTTAGTTGAATATTCTCTTTCCCCTTATTCCTTCTGTCTCCACGGTTCCTGAATGTTTAAGCCTGGGACAATTTTTCTTTTTCTTTTCCTTTTTTCTTGCCTTGAGGAGCATGGTAGGTATCTGATAATTTTCCTGGGAGGTGTAACAGCCTTTTTTTCCTGCCAAATTTGAATTAAGTTTAAGCCATAGATATATTGTAGAAATTTGGGGATATGTTATTACTACATAATATCATGATCATCCATATCTTAATGAAAGAAAAATATTAAAATGTATTCATTCAGGATAACTTACCAACATGTCTAAAGGCTCAAAATATGTGCATGTGTGAATAAGCCATACAAGAGAGATTAACACAGATAAGAATAAATTAAATGTTTATTTATTTATTTAATTTCTTGAACTTCATAACTGCCCCATGACACCATTTGAATTGTATGTCACAGAACAAATGTAATAATTATATTTTAATTAATTTAATTATTACATTTGTTCCATGATGTACTCAGAAAATTAGTTATTTGAGTCCCTAGAGCTTTAAATATTTTTTACCTATTTTTATATTATAATAAACATATTATAATATTTATATTACAATAAATTTATTTATAATAAATAAATATTATATGTTTATATAAAACATATACATAAGCTTTAAAGCTCAAAAACTCAAAGCCCAATTTAAAATGGGGCTTTTAGAACCAGGAGGCCCAGACCATAACACCCACATTACTGTATTTAAAAGGTAAATAAAAACATCTTTGCCAAGTGCTGGAGACATCATAAAGATTACGCAAGACAAAGTTGTTCCCAAAGTCTTGAACTGTTACATGAATCTTTTTATGTGCCTAAGCGTAGGGGTTTTTTTTACGAAGAAAGCTTCTGCTAGAGAAGTTTTACATTTCCCAGTGGGACATACAGAGGATCACATCCAGAAGAGGGTCCTGCATGCTTCCTTTAGAATATCAAAAATTTCAGTAGGCTCAGCTGTATGTAGTTAACTTAATGCAGAGAGAGCAAATGCAGCTGATGGCTGCACCTAACATTTTGGGGAAAGAATAAGGCTAAGAATAAACTGGACAATAATAGGAAGTTAGCAACGGAATGTCGTACATCTGTGTAGAGCTTGGATTTTTTCCCCATGTTCGGTTCTGGAGAGGATGTAGTTTATTTCTTCCTCCTCCTCCTCCTCCTCCTCCTCCTCCTCCTCCTCCTCTCTTTGTTATGATATTAAGACTACTTTAGGGATTAATTATACTCTGACATTTAATGAAATATCTGCTTCTGTGTTTGTTTCTGTTGCTTTCCTTAGGTCCACCGTTTCTCCAGCAGTTCACATGGCAATTTAAATGGTGTCATGACAATTCAAGCTAAACCACTGCAACAGAGACACTCAACCTTGATAGAAAAGTATGCTTTACAAAGACCTTTTTATGAAATTACACTTTTATCTAGGCTACATTTGTCTATTTATTTCTGTGCTTATTTATTTTAGTTATATAGTTTATTATGATCATAGACCAGCATCATAAAATGATAAAAAGAATAAGCATACTGATAGAAGTAGATCCATCAACAATATAGATCATAAAAAGACTACAAAATATACAATTTTTTAAATAAATGCTGAGCAAATAAAACTTACCCATGGTGCAATAAACCTGAATCATATAACCACATCAATCAGTAACAGGATAGCAAAAGTCCAGATTGTAATCAATTATGTAATGTTCCATATCCTTAATTCCTTTTACACTGTTGATATAAACAGTATATTCCAAAAGTCAGGCAAGTAAGGAAGTGTTTAGAAGAAAATGGCAACCAATTTGAACATGGGGACATGGTGGTGCAGGGCTTAATGAGGCTGGAGTTTGCCGGTCAGAAATGGTCGGCACTCCAGTGGTTCGGGCCCGGCTCCACGGGACGGGGTGAGCTCCCGTCACTTGTCCCAGCTTCTGCTCACCCAGCAGTTCAAAAGCAATTCCATCTGCAAGTAGATAAATGGGGACTCCCGTCTAGATGGGAGGAACCGGTGGTGCTGCGTGGGGGAGCAAAATATCGGTGCTGGACCGAACTCCGAATGCATCCGGCACGAGCGATGATCGATGCAAGCAGTGCGAAAGAACTACCAAGGAGGAAAAGCCTGGATGACCCCCTAGCGACCACTGCTGGTCACATAGTGTAATATATAGCACTGTAGATTTGTAATTGTAAGAATTGTTAGTCACTGTTAGGATTATATATACTTTGTGAGCTGCCCAGAGTTCCCTATTGGGGGGAGATGGGCAAAGAATAAATTGAATGTGTGTGTGCATGTGTGTGTGTATGTATGTATGTATGAAAAAAATAATTCTCACTCCTATGGCTGGTACGGGTCTTCCTCAATCTCGGGTCCTCTACCAGAGGCCTGGGAGTTTGAGGGTTCTGTGCAGTATCTTAGCTGTTCCTAGCACTGCACCCTTCTGCACAGAGAGCTCAGATGTAGTTCCTGGGATCTGTTGGAGCCATTCTCCCAGCTTAGGAGTCATGGCCCTGAGTGCTCCTACCACCACTGGGACCACTTTGGCCTTTACTTTCCTTTACATGTATATGTATGTATGTATGTATGAAAAAAATAATTCTCACTCCTATGGCTGGTACGGGTCTTCCTCAATCTCGGGTCCTCTACCAGAGGCCTGGGAGTTTGAGGGTTCTGTGCAGTATCTTAGCTGTTCCTAGCACTGCACCCTTCTGCACAGAGAGCTCAGATGTA